ATCATTCTGTCTGTAATATCAGTCATCATCATCAATGATCCCCAGGCAGTAGCAGCTCAGGTAGTAGAGAGAGACGGTTTAGTGATTTTGGGGCCCAAACGTGGCTCCTCCTCTTAGCCGCAACCCCAAACTCAAGAAGTAAAGAAGGTGCAAAAAAAAAAAGACGTATGTGGATGTTAGGAAATGCGATAGCCACTGTCCTGGACTGACACTAAACTTACCTGTTGCACCTGACCTCTGACTGCCCCGCTGACATGTGTCTCTCAGAGGTCAAAGTGAAGATTCTTGCGCCTAAATCTCCTCCGTTGCACAGACATCTTCAGTGAAGAGCTGGAGGGCGAATCCGGTCGCGTCTGAGCTCTCAGAGGACACCTGTGATCGTTATCTAAGATGAGCCACACAGGACAGGAAGTGCTGTGTGGGTGGTATGTGCACGCACTGCTTCAGACAGCCTTGCAATGGACGGTTGTCGCGCGTGAACAAGGTGGAGAACGTGGAGAGCAGGAACGTGAGCGCATCTTTTGGTGTATTTTGATCGGTGTTATTCTCTTATTGAGTGCACATCAACGCACATCTGATGATCCTAACTCTACAACAGGTGAGACCGAGGATTAGATTCATTTAAATTTGAATCAAGTTCAAACAAATTAAACATGTAATCTGTTCAAATCAAATCAATTCAATCACAACACATCCATGAACTGCAGAATTAACATTCTGTTGATTAGCAGTGTTTTCCACTGTACCATGTGGGAGGCAGGCTGATGTTACTGTAAAGCAGATGTGTTTTACAGAATCAGCCTTCTTCCTTTTTTTTTTTTTTAGCTCTATTGCCAAATTCAAAGTGCTTCCAGATATGACTTCTTGGATGATTTAATGTCAGGATTTGCCCTAACTCAAGATGACAAAGTCACAAGCATACAAGAGGCATGTAACACACAACAAATAAACAAACTGGTTGTGCCATTGTTAGGCGCCTGACTGGCCCATTAAGTTTGGCTTTTCCCATTATATTTCATTATATTTCAAACCCTGTTTACAACACATGCCTCTAAGGATGGTGGTGGTGGCTGCTCAGTCCGCCATGCACTTTGGTCTAGCCTGAAATATCTCAACAACTTCTGGTTTGATTGCCATAAAATTTTGTACAGACATTCATCCAGAGGATGAACTCTACTGACTTTAATGATCCCCTGACTTTCCCCCTGGTGCCACCACTGGGTTGATGTTTGTGGTTCAGATTGAAATGTCTGTTGCAGACATTTTTCGTTAGGTTTATTTGGCTTTTACGCTTCTTATACGTGTTTTCAAAGCATGGAAAGGGGCTACTTTGTTTTGTTTGTCTTTGCAGTGTCAGCCTACAGTCACTTTGTGTTGCTGCAATTTCACTGTAAGACGTTGGGCAAGACAAAGCATTTGATCAGTCAGCATATACTGTAATTGTTTCAGCTCAGCTTGGTGTGGCAGGACTTTGACTCACACGACCACAACTTTTCTCTGCAAATTTCAAAACAATGTCCTTCTGACATGTTGTGACAAAAATGTGTTTGTCTTAAACATCAGTAGTAAAAACTTTGGTGGCAACTTATTACTGACGTTTCAGCATAAACCCCCACATCCCATGCAGAAATGTAATATATGACATACATGTCCCTATATAAAGAGTGATGTTGCCATATATGTCACCTATCAGGGGATATATTATTATCACATATATACACTACCGGTCAAAAGTTTTAGAACACCCTAATTTTTCCAGTTATTTATTGCAATTCAAGTCGTGCAAGTCCAATGAATAGCTTGAAATGGTACAAAGGTAAGTACTGAACAGCCAGAGGTTAAAAAAAAAGGTTTGGTTACCCAAAACTGAAAAATAATGTACATTTCAGAATTATACAAAAAGGCCTTTTTCAGGGAACACGAAGTCGGTTAACAATTCTGCAGCAATGAAGGTTGAATCAGCCTTGAAAGCTGGTGCTACTAATTCCTACAGGTGTTCCAACTTTTCTTGACTACATACAACCCCCTCTGTCTGCATAAAAGCAGTGTTGGAACACACTGTGGTACCAGACCCTCATGAGCATCAGGTGAACAGTATTGTACTGCAGAAAGTAGTGTGTTGCTACAAAAATGGCGAGAAAAAGGCAATTAACAATGGAAGAGAGACAGACCATCATAACACTTAAAAATGTAGGTCTTTCCTACATGGAAATTGCAAAGAAAGTCAAGGTGTCAGTGAGTACAGTTTTCTTCACCATCAAAAGGCACTCAGAAACTGGGGGAAACTCTGACAGGAAGTGGTCTGGCAGACCCAAAGCCACAACTGAATCAGAGAACAAGTTTCTGAGAGTTAACAGCTTGCATGAAGGCGGCTCACAGGACAACAGATTCAAGCACAGCTTAATAGTGGTCGTAGTAAGCAAGTCTCAGTTTCAACTGTGAAGAGAAGACTTCGAGCTGCAGGTTTGACAGGACGAGTTGCAGCAAGAAAGCCATTGCTAAGATGTCAGAATAAGACAAAGAGGCTCTCCTGGGCCACGAAACGCTGCCATTGGACTACTTGAAGACTGGAAGAAGGTATTATGGACTGATGAATCAAAATTTCAAATCTTCGGTTCATCACGCAGGATCTTTGTACGCCGTCGAGTAGGCGAGAGGATGGTTCCACAGTGTGTGACATCAACTGTCAAACATGGAGGAGGATGTGTGATGGTCTGGGGCTGTTTTGTGGATCCAGGGTCGGTGACCTGTACAGAGGTGAGCGGCACCCTGAAATAATACGGCTACCACAGCAATTCTGCAGCGCCATGCAATACCCTCTGGTATGCGCCTAGTTGTCAGAGGTTCATCCTACAGCAAGATAATGACCCAAACACAAGTCCAAGCTATGCCAAAACTACCTCAGGAAAAAAGGACAAGATGGTAAGCTTGTAAAAACATGGACATAGCAAGTGGCCAGCACAGTCTCCAGACTTAAACCCCATCGAGCTGGTTTGGGATGAACTGGACAGAAGAGTGAAAGCCAAGCAACCTACAAGTGCCACACATTTATGGGAACTTCTGAAACAGACTTGGGAAGAACTTTCTGAAGAATATTTGATTTCTATTGTAGAAAGAATGCCACGAGTGTGTTCAGCTGTTATATCTGCCAAAGGTGGCTACTTGATGAGTCAAAAGTTTAGAATACATTTTGGTCTATAAATTGATTATTTTTTCAACTCAAATTGCATATTTGTTCTATTCTTTCATTTCAGAGTGCAATGACACAATAAACTGAATAATTTTCAGTAAAAAACTGGAAAAAGTGTGGTGTTCTAAAACTTTTGACCGGTAGTGTACATCCTCTGGATATATGATGATATAAGTTTATACAATATATGAAATGCCCATAGTAAAATTTGTATATGTACATATATTAAAAATGTGATCTATGTGATGATTTTTTATGTAAAAAGTATGTGTTAACATGATTTAACATGTATTAACATTATAGATTTTATTTAATTATGCAAGTTTATTAAAACAACATACATGTTAAAAAAATCTATATGTTTATATATTTTTTTCTTATTAATTTCTCACTAGTTTTAAACATGTCTGACTAGTGGTCTCAGACTTTTAGACCTTCTGTTTATATATCAACATATACCCACAGTCTTTGGGATGGATATAATGTATATTCATGTATCATATAAGATCTGTCTACAATATTAGCCTATATACATATATGTATACAGTATATTCTATGTGTACATATATTTCATTTATGTAACTTCAATATATGTACATATATTACATTTGCGTATGGGATCACCGGGATCACCAAAAAGGCCAATAAGATCTCCATATTCCTGTAGGACAGACTGTGAAGTGTGGAGGGGGGAATCAGAGATCACACAGGCCCCTGTTCTCCCTCTGAGTGCCTCTCTCTTCCTCGCTGGGTGATCGGTTCAGTGCTGCTGACTGCGTTGGACTCCGGAGCGTCACCTCGACCTGACGTACTCTTGTCCCAGACCACAGCTGTCACCATTACGTCATGCCTATTGGCCCAAGAGAGAGAGAGAGAGAGAGAGAGAGAGAGAGAGAGAGAGAGAGGCAGAGGTAGAAGCAAGGCAAAGGGCAAACAACGCGAGAGAGAGAGAGAGAGAGAGAGAGAGAGAGAGAGAGAGAGAGAGAGAGAGAGAGAGTTGGACCCCTGCGCTCCATCGATCTGCAGAGGCGCACAGAGGAGCTTATATCGGACAAGCCTTCGGTTTTTTTTCAGGGGGGAATGCCAAACGTGGATCCGCTGTTTGCAACATGCTACTGGGCTATTTGGTACGGTAAGACTGTGGCAGTGTCGTTGTTTAATTCTCATGTGGCTTTCTTTTAACTTTTCATTTGGACGGTTGATGTGTCTCCCCGTACACCCCCGTCCCTTCCTCCACCTCCTCCTCTTACTACCCCGACAAAAGAGAGAGATTGCGCTCTTGCAGAATCGACCTGTGGGTGAGAGAACTGCACTTTGCCTCATATCGATGCAACGAGGGAGGAAATCACAGAAGTTTGAGCAGGAGTGTGATTTATGCTTCATGTTGCCTTATTTTGGGGCAGAGATGTATGAGGATGATGATGATGATGATGATGATGGCGATGGATTGCGTGGAAAAGCTTATTGTCAACAGTGACACACAGATTTGTTTAGCAGGGGGAGGTAAAGGCAAACAAAAATTGTAGGTTGATGGTTACACCATGGACTGTTTCCATCTGTGAGGGCGTGCGTTTGACATCATCATCCTCATCATCATCATCATCATCATCATCAACATCATCATTAATTACTCTAGGAACAGACCTGAGAAGGCTCCTCTGTCTTTTGTAGTGGATGAGGTAATAATCATATAATATTCCTGTAATGAGAAACAATGGAGACAATTAGTTCCACGCTTTAAAATATATATACTATTTATCTCCACCTGTAACTCCAGCTTACGTGATGAGTGACAATGTTTTAAAGAACACACCGGGCCACATTCTTGCTGCGTTGATGATACAATAAAAGCTCACAGTGGTGCTCGGGTTGTGCTCTGGCTCAGTGAGATGTGTCTGAGCATTCAGTTCTTGATTCAGTGATTCTGGCTCTCACACGTTTTCCATGGAGCTCCAGTGTTCCTGGAAGTGTTTGCAGGAGCTTTCTTCAAAATATTAGTTACAGCTCAGAAACTGAGCAAACATCTGGATCGTCTCAGATCAAATCTTCTCTCCTAGAAAGCCCTGGACAACTTGAACATACGTGTCAGTGGAGTATGCGAAAGCGGCACGTCAGTCGTACGAGTTAATCTGAGATCAACCTCTACCAGACGGAATTCACCTTGAATCCAGAACGTGAACGCACCTGAGGCATGCTGTGTGAACTGTTGGACAGTAGAGTCATCAGTAGAGATCAGCCGCCTTTTCCATTCTGCTGTCAGCTGTAAACTTGAAGCCAGTTCTGACGATGAAAGGGTTTAAGTTTGGGCTGGATTCAAGCGACCAGAATAAGAATCCTGATGCCTCGTACTGACAAAAAATTATGATACCATTGTCATTACTGCTGGACTTTTTTGTTTCCAAAGAGCTGCCAGAGGGTCTGTGTTATCTCTCCTGAATGCCTTGTGTTTGGGGGTCAAGCACCTTGCTCACATGCATCTTGACAGCATTTGAACTTTTGTTATTTAGTTCATGAAATGTCCCCAAGTGTCAATCAACAACAGTTCAACAGTTCTGCTCATGAACAACCTTGTCTCACTGCTCTGTTGTGAATTGAACTTATTTCTGTTTCTGCCCTTGTTTGTTTGGCTGACATTATTTCTGTCAAATTCAGGAAGCGCCTTCATCTCGTGGTTAAACATCCTTCATTTCTACTTGTAGATGGAAACGGCTCTTACGCTTATGAACCTTAATGAGCTCTGCACACTATGTTGTGTGACTGTGGTGGGAACTGAGCCTTTATCAGTAGTGGGTTAGTGGCAGACTCTTCTCTGAGCTATACAAGGCAGCAGAATCACACAACACTCAACTTCAGCTTCTCCAGGGTTGCCATTCCTGGCTGCCCGTTGACCTCTGACCCCCTTTGGTGAGGTGCGACCACGAATGTGTCTCAGTGGAGAAGAAAACAACCTCTTAGGGTGGCATAGTGACGAACCTTTCCAGTCCTGTTTTGGTAAGCGTCAGCAGTTCAGTGTCCCGGGCTGCTGAGCCTGAGCTCTGAGCTTCATGAGTGGAAAGTGGGCAGTGGTTTTGTGACTGTGGTCTGTGGTTTCCTGCAGGTAGTGGTTGTGATCTGCCTGTTGGGTTCTGATGTCAGCAGAGCGTATGTGTTTCAAGCCAGTGGGCCTACAGATGGAGGAGACAACCCACCACCTCACACTAAAGGTGGGATCAGCCTTGATGTTCGATCACACACAATACATTCAGAATAAATGCAAATATCTGTTTGTTTTTTTTTTTGTTTACATGTGGAACAATCGTGGTCCTGGTTTTAAATGTCCTTTCACTTTAAACTAGACACTTTAAAATCTGAGACTTCCTGTCCTTTTTCTTGAGAAATGATGTAGTAAAAAGAAGAAGATAATATGAATTAAATAAATCACTACTGTTCAGCAGCTAGCTCTAGAAAACTAAGAGACCAAAGAATTTCCCAAACATTTACACTTGTCACACAAAAATATTGTAACAAACGAAAAGACTACTTCGAAATTCTGCTACACGACTGCTGAATCCAAAAGCTACCTGTAGAGTGGGAGATAATACTAAACATCTATGGTCTGCTTAGGCAAATAGTTTTCAAATAAGAAAGAGAGTGAGAGTAAGGTGAGAGTGGATATCATCTTTACATGCCAAGCTTTGCAGATGAGTGTGTTTTGCAGCGGTCTTGTCTAAATGCACCTCTCCTCCCTCCAGTCGTCTCAGAGTGGGTCAGCTCAGCGGGCTCCTGTAAGAGGAGGTGCTTTGAGCTGGAGGAGGCCAAACCTCCAGGATGCAGATGTGACAATCTGTGTAAAACCTACTACAGCTGCTGCTCGGACTTCGACGAGCACTGCCTGAAAACAGGTGAGTCTGACACAGTGTCCCCCTACCTACATCACTTCTCCCGCTTTCTTGTTGTAGAATAAAACTGGTATTATTATGTTTTTCTTATAGTAAACAAATCTGAAGGAGAAGACCAAAACAAACAATTTGTTAGTCCATCTCTCAATATCTTCTGACAGTCTGTGGCTGTCAGTACAAAACCCATTGGTACCTATTAAAGATGTAAATCTGATGTAAAATGCTCAGTAATTTTCTACAACAGCTGGCCACTGTAGTTTTTATCATTAAAAATCTCTATTTTACACGTTTCCTGTGTTTTATTTGAAGTGTTGATCCATTAGAAGATATATTTGTGGTTTTAAGAACCAAAAACCATCTCAGTGTAGTTTTACATCTCCTCTCTCAGGCTTCTCTCTGGAGCTCTAGTAACAACAGGTCGGTGAGCCAATCAGAAGAGAGGAGGCTCTGAGCCTCTCCTCTGACTGGCTGACTGTTTTCTGAGTGATCCAATAAAAATATCGCAGATTTCAGGTAAAACACTCAGAGAAACCAAATCCTGAAAGGTTGGATGGTGGGTTCAGGTGGGCGTGGCTTGTGGCATGGCTTTTTTATGCCATTACAAAGTTACAGGAAGTCCTGACGGCTCGTTTTAACACTGAGCGCTTTGATACTTTTACAGTATTATTATAGAACCTAGACCTGCTTTATAATCGAATAAGGAAAAGGAAAAGGAAATCTACTTTTACACAATATGGGACCTTTAATGTTACACAAACAATAAATAGTGGATCTGTTTAGGACTATTTTCAGTAGTGGATTAATCCACATTTGGTTCTCTAGAGAATATTTGTTGCAGCAGGACGGTGTGTGTGATTTTGATACAGACATAATACTTGTTGACAGTAGGAAAAATAGAGAATATCGCCAGACTTTCAATTTAAAACTCAATATTTTGTGCAATGTGTAAGTAATATTGAGAAGGATTTATCTGCCAGTAAAATGTAACACTACCTCTGAAAGCAGAGGATTTAAACAGGGAAGACTCATTTATATGAAAAAAGTCAGTTTTTTAATTCTAGCCACAATGGTAATTTTCATCTGAAGCTAATTTAGACTTGGCGATCACAGTTTCATCTTGAAAACATTAGGCAGACAGCACTGGGACATTTTCCAAGACACAAAAAGTCTCTAAATGAAATCTATATCCATGAGTTTCTTGTCTTTTTTTTTTTTAAACAAGATCCGCTTTAACTGGGTAATTAGTAACAGACTGCAGGTCTGACGACAGATTTAATGTTTCACACTTCATTGTATTAATTCATGGTGTTTTAATGAGCCTCACTGAGAGGTGTTTTACAGCAGTGAGGTGGCTGTAATAAAGCGATTTACTTCCTCCTCCCTGTGTGGCAGGCGGAGGGTTCGAGTGCTCGCAGGATCGCTGTGGGGAGGCGAGGAACGACGACCATGCCTGCCACTGCTCAGAGGACTGTCTGGAGAAAGGAGACTGCTGCTCCAACTACAAGTCACTCTGCAAAGGTACTTGCTTTAATTTGTACTTACTTTTTTTTACTATATTTATAAATGGAAAATTAAATTTGCATGAAAGCGGGTGATGACTGTGTCCTCTTGTTTCCCTCTGAGGTGAGACTTCATGGGTGCAAGAAGACTGTGAGGAGATCCAGAGTGCTGAATGCCCTGCAGGGTGAGTCTAACACTGATGGAGTAATAATAAACAATCAAATGTAGGTCATTGAAAATCGCTGCTTTTCCTCTTGATTAATAGGTACATATTTATAATTATTTACAGCAACAAGTAGCTTCTAACTGGTCAATTAAAGGGACAGTGTCCAAACCTTCAGACTCCAAAGAGAAACCCAATAAGCATTAATTAAGATTAAAGGTTAAAGGTTTAAGTCCTCACCTTGCTGCAGTTACGTACAGGTGTGCTCCAGGGCGTGTCAGTACACTGTGACATCACTCTCGGCTACAGGTAACGGAGCAACAGCACAACTGAGCACTTGCATAGATTTGACGGCCTTATTAAAACGATAACAAATATCAAAATTGATTCAGCAGAGGTTGAGAGGACTCTTAGTCCTTACAAGTATACCATTGTGCACGGTGCGTTTCCCATAATGCAAAGTGACTTTCGTAAACACCCGTGTCTTTCAAACTTAGCATCCTCGTTTTGCAATGCAAGGTTTCTGTTGAGTGTCTGTTTAAGCTACTCCCAAAGAGACCAAAGGACTAAATGTGTCTTAAAGTTAGGGGTAGTTCAGGACTGCCGCTGTTTTAGCTGTTCGATAAACACACCTCAAACTGGGCTGACGGACTGATCACTTAGCAACAGTCAACAATCAACAATTCAAAAGATCTTTCCATTACATTTAAATGCTCCAAAATTGTCAATGGTGGTTTCACTTGTTTCGTCAACCCCCTCAGCTTCATCCGTCCTCCGCTCATCATGCTGTCTGTTGACGGGTTCAGAGCCTCCTACCTGAAGAAGGGCAAATCTGTCATCCCCAACATACACAAGCTCAGTATGTTTTTTATTTGACTTTGTACTGTTTTTATCTGAATGCTTTCGTAATGATTGTAGAAGTCATGATGCGTGTGAATCTTACAGAGGCTTTTGTCCATGTTAACAGTTGTGTGTTATAATAAAATGTCTTATGGAGTTTAATACTAAAAAGCTTGCATGTTTCCCCTCAGGAGAGTGTGGTACGTCGGCACCCTACATGCGACCAGTCTACCCATCAAAAACATTCCCAAATTTATACACCCTGGCCACAGTAAGTGACACTGGATTGTATCTAAATCCCTGGTTCATGTCTTTATCATGTAACACTAGAGGGTACAGTAAAGCAGGGCTGTTAATATGTACTCCTACATTTGTAGGCTAAGTAAATACACGTGTTTGCCATGTTCAAAATGTCCTTACAGCATGTTCACGTTGTGACCCTGCTGCAGCACTGATTTTTAACTATACTACTGAATATGTTAACTATAGTGACTCTGTTCTGTGGGATCTCTCTACAGGGTCTTTACCCAGAGTCCCATGGGATTGTGGGGAACACCATGCATGACCCAGTGTTTAATGCCACCTTCAGCCTGCGCACCAGAGAGAAACTGAACCACCGCTGGTGGGGCGGACAGCCAGTGAGTAAACTCCAGATACCAGATTATGATCAATCAGTTCAAACTCACAGGCTGACTAAATAAACCAGTTACTTCATATCACTCATTATGTGTTGACACAGCTGAAACTTTGAAAAAGCTCATAGTAACTACATCTAGTTTCCTATTCTGGAGGCCCAATGAGAAATGAGAAATTATAGTTTTATAACATTTTAGCTCTGCTTTTAGAAACACTAGAATTAAGGAGAAACTGTTAGTTAAACTGTTATCTTAATTGTAAGAGAAGTAGATGTTATTGTTTCGGGATTTGTTAGAGTCGGCAACAGATGGCATCTCAAAACTCCTGGGGTTTGACCACTGTCATAACAAAACCCAGCTAACTCTTAAGAATACTGGTGCCTAGCTTGTTGGCTAACAGGATATGATGTGCAAGAGAAGACTGCTTTTGGTGGAGGTAAGCTAGCAGCTTTTAACTGCTAAGCTAGGCTGAACATCGTAATGTCTGTAATGGATTCACAGAGACACTCATTTTCTCATCTGAACATCGGTGAGATTTCCTAGATGTTAGATGATGTCTTGATTGGTATTCCCAAGGTGCAGTTTGAACGGTGTTCATCAGTGTGTGTATTTCATTATTCCTGTTACTGGAAAAATGGTACACTCTAACAGCGTAGTACATTTACTATATACAGTTATTAGGCTGTGTAGTATGGAGTTAGGACATGGACAAATGTACACTGGGGTTTCCAAGCACACACTGAACAAAGTACATTATAATTTGTCTTTTCTGTGTTACAGATCTGGATCACAGCAGAGGAACAAGGAGTGAAAGCAGGCACTTTCTTCTGGCCTTGGTACTTAAGTTAGTACTGGAATATTTTTCAATAGCTTCAGACACTGAACTGGTAACTTACAAATAAACCTTTGAGACTGAGTTGATAGGATCGAGGTTAAAGGTAGTTTAGGTTTAGTTTTGGTCAAACATATGAACTCAAGTCTAAAAATCTAGAAATTGCAAAATATCTAATAATATACTAATAAAATACCACAGTATTTGGAAAATTCAAACCCTTGTACAATTTCTGAGCGTACTGACAAAAATGTTGCCATAGTGGCTGCATTAAGTCTGAGCAACATCACAATGGCAGAGTTAAGGGAGTTAAATGGCTTCTTGCGCTGTGTTCACAGCAATACAGAGTTTGTTTTCAGTGACAGATTAGGAGAAATGACAACAGACGGTTTATTGCAGACATATCCATGACCTAATGATCACGAGGGCAGGAGTGGCTGAGGGCTCGTCACATCCTGAGACTGACTGACAATGGACAGACACAGGACAATACTCCCACACACTCAGTCACAACAGAGGCTATTGACGACTCAAAGCCACTGAGCTCTGCTGATTTACATAAACGCACAAGAGCATCATATAATCAGAGACCACTTGATCATAACACGAGTCTAAATCAATTATTGTAAGAAAGAATAAAAGTAAAAATACAAACTGAAGACTCTGTTATAACAGCCAGTGTGTATCGTCTGTGTCGTTCCGTGCATCAATTTTTAGACTTGAAGTCCTGCCACTTAATCATTCACATTGTTTTGTTGACAGGGTGATTCCTCTGGAGAGGAGGATTTTGACGATCCTGCGATGGCTGCATCTGCCTGATAACGAGAGGTGCGTCTTTCTGTTCTGAGAACACGAGGAAGAAACTTTTTAACAACCTGGTTCTTGTAAACTTTTCTCATGGTGGAAACGTCCTACTTGGTTAATAGCAGGAAAAGCACAGGTCTAACTAATAACATTAACAATGAGAGTGATCCAGCTTATAATACAAACAATAGAAGCGGTTAATAATGTGTTATTGTCCATTTGTGTTGTATTGATACAGTTTTTAAAGCATGTATACTTCACTGAGTCATAAAATGATGGATGAATGGACTGTTTTGATGACTGACTGGGAGAAATTTCACCTACTCTCAATCTTCAAACCTTAATTTCCAATGTTGGACAATGACTCTCGTACAAGTTGTGTCTGGCTTCACTGCGTCCCTATAGCATATGTTAGCAGCAAGGTCAATAAAATGTTATTATAACTAATAGGGATAAGTGTTGTGACCTTCGTTTTTAACTTTAACACAAAAAGCCAACTTTTGGATTTGATTGAACTTTTTTCTGCTGGTGCTTTGTACCTATTCAGCAGTTTTAAGCTGTGACTCCATTGGACTCTTTGGAGAGACTCTTTTGAGTTGTGTGTGCACCTGCATGAACAAGTTGTGTTGTGCTCTTACTCAACTGTGACTGAGAATATGCATGTTTCAGAATTTACTTCTGGAGTTAAGTGTGTGCTGATGCCTATACACATTTGAAAATATAAAAAAAAACTTAGATTGTACTGTATGTTTAAACCTGGTGATTGTTGCTGGTCTTATTTGAGCTACATACCATGGTTTTATAGTGTTGTGAGGTTAGGCAGGTTTTTTGTGTTTCTCCGTTGAGGTGAGGTGAAACTCAGTGAAGGGTTTCAAAGATGTTTAGTCGTCATGGTGACCTTAAAACACTCTCACACCTCATGATTAAGTTGTATGTGCCGTCTCTCTCCAGGCCGTATGTTTACGCCGTCCACTCAGAGCAGCCCGATACCTACGGACATCGACTGGGACCGCTCAGCAGTGAGGTGAGTGTGGGACCGGAGGGTTGAAGAATGTCGTGTGTGTGTGTGTGTGTGTGTGTTTCAGTGGCTTTGTTACATCATTACATTGTTGTTATTTACAGCTGGATAACCCTCTGAGAGAGCTGGACAACATCATTGGTCAGCTGATGAATGGTCTAAAGCAGATGAACCTGCATCGCTGCGTCAACGTCATCATCGTAGGAGACCATGGTACGACCTTTGTGTAACCTCTGACGCCTTGGTAGGGGAGAAGATACAGTAGGAGACGACTAGCATCTTCTCTCTGCCTCCGTCTTGATGCTAAGCTAGGCTAAACACATCCCAAGCCTATCTCTGATGGATTCACAGGGATGCTGATTTTCTCATTTGAACCTTGATCTCAGATCTCAGTCAGGTGTTTTTCTCTAGATGTTGCAGTGTCACTAATATATTACCAGAAATATAATATATATATGGTGATATTGGCTGTGCTTGGCCTTTTAATCAGCCCTAATAGTCTCCATATTAGATGACTTTTAAAGAGTAAGTTCATTCATAGTACAAGCAGAACAGATTTTCTCACTTAGTAGTATCTAGGCATGGAAATAGAGGTGGTTTCAAGATTCCTGCCTTCACCCAACAGAGGTGAATGAAAGTTCATAAAGTGTTCAGAGAGACAACCAATATTTAAAAAAAAAAAAAAAAAAAAAAAAAGCTTGAATGCAGCTTGTTTCAGCAGAATCCTGTCTCCTCAAACCTGAAGTATTGGGTTTGCAGCTTTGGTTATTTTATTAAGAAGCTACTGTCTACAAAAGAAATAGTCCCTGTAACCAGAGTAACTGGGACATTGTTTCTGGAAAGACACATTGCTGCCGCTCCATCCACCTATTTGTATTTTCAGTAGCAGCAGATTTGTTCAAATCTTGACTAATAAAACAAAAAAGTAAGTGAGAAAATATGTTTATATATGTAACTGCAGGTTGTTTTTTTTTTTTGTATGTTTATAGTACGTTTTGTTCTCTTTTTTTTTTTAACAAAAAACAACAGCACCAGAGCTCTGCATAACATTGTTCTACACAATCAGCATAAATAGTTATGACTGTTAAAAAAATATAGTGTAAGGAAAAAAAATTATAATGAAAACATGTGAATAAAATAATTTTGTCCCTCCCTTTCCTTAAATAAAAATTAAAGCCATTATATAATAATAAAGCTCAGATGAAAAAGGGACATTACATTACAGTGTTATAAGCAGGGTACAACAAGTGGGATCCATAATTAGTCAAGGATCATACTTAAAAGCGTTGAGGCCACTGTAGAGCTCGGAAAATTTAGATCTGGAGTCCCTATCTTCATAAACTGTCTCTTTGAAGAGCGAAGCGGCATGACTTCAGTTTTAAGTGTCCTGACCCTTTAAACATAGTAACAGAAACCATGGCCGTCTGCTCTGTCTCAGGTATGGAGGAGGCCCACTGTGACAGGACAGAGTTTCTCAGCAGCTACCCACTCAACATTGACGAAATCCAGCTGATCCCTGGCTCTCTCGGGAGAATACGACCCCGCGACCCCAAATCCACTACATGTGAGACACACGGATGAAGACGGAGCTTTATTTCATTTTTTATTTTTTTGTGTAACAGGCTCCATATTAACGTGATGTTGCCTTTGTTTTTTTCAGATGACCCAAAAGTAGTTGTTGCGAACCTCACTGTAAGTACCACAACAAAAACACACACAAACCGTTTCCTGCAGTTTCTCGAACGGCGCGCTGCTGCCTGTGTTTGTCTGTGTGTGTGTGTGTGGGGGGGGGACGAGAAAAGAGCACAGGTCGTTCACCTACATTATTTGTTGTTTCAGTGTAAAATGCCAACTCAGCACTTCAAGCCGTACCTGAAGCAGCATTTACCCAAGAGGCTTCACTACGCCAATAACCGCAGGATCGAGGACGTCCATCTGCTGATGGAGAGGAAGTGGCACATCGCCAGGTAGCCTGAGCCACTGGTTCACATCTTGTCCACCGCATGTGAAACTAATACCGATGATTTATTACCTCATCAAGAGGAAACTTCCAGCATCAAGCAGCCCTGTCTGTGTCTCTGGGTGGACTTTAGAACCTCAACTGAACTGAATCATATCCCAGGTCCACCTCTAAGGCTAAAGGTCCCATATTGTATAAATTGAGATTTCCATGTCTTTTTGATTATAGATGTCTGTAGCATCCAATAAGGTTTCAGTTTCAATCAGTTCTAATCAAATGATGAAGATTTAATTTTTGCAAAAACATTTTTTTCAGGAAAATGCCAGAAAAACTGAGGACTCGTTGTGGTTTCTTTGGTGACCACGGCTTCGACAACAAGATAACCAGCATGAGGGTAAAGTGCTGTATCTTGTCTACTGTTTACTAGATAGATTGTATTAATGGTACCGTGTGGAGTTTTTGGAGCATGGCGCGTGGCTTTGATAAGTGGGTCTCTTTTTTTGGGTATACCTCATTCACTTGTACAAACACACGGGTGACTCATAAATCAGCTGTTTCATGAGGAATATGCTGTACATTCAATGCATTTGTTAGATATCAAGTGTAGACAAAATGCTTTTAGGTGGAACAATGCATCTAAACAGTATTTCTCTATGATTAACTTGTACTTTTTTTTGTACTTTTTTTGTGTGTGTGCAGACGATCTTTATGGGACACGGGCCAAGCTTCAAGTTTCAGAAAAGAGTGCCAGAGTTTGAGAATATAGAGTTATACAACATCATGTGTGGTGAGAATATTATTATTCAGCTTTAATGGTGTGAAGTAGAAAATACGGTGGAACATTCATGTCTGTCCCTTTGTGTTCAATTAGTTTAAGAGAGGTAAAAGAAACTTTATTAATGAATCCCCAAAATGTCAGATTCAAATTATTATGATATTATTATAATTATTATTATAATTATTATTTTTCTGACCAGCTGACCCACTTCCTGCTCTCTACTGTTTTGTCTGTGTCAGACTTGTTGGGGTTGAAGCCGGCCCCAAACAATGGGACCCACGGCAGCCTGAACGACATGCTGAAAGAGCCGCCGTACGAACCCAGCATGCCCAAGGAAGTGACGCCACCGTCACTGGCGTCTGACTCCGAGGTCACTGTGACACATGACCTGGGCTGCAGCTGTGACGATGAGGTCAGTGGAGGACTGTGACATCACAAGAGATCATTTATAACATCTGATCAAATTCAGCAGACTCTGCATTTGCAGCTGTGTCACATGACAAACTAGAGTCCAGAGCGCATACCTCCGCCAAAGGCCAAACAATGTATATCAGATCTGGATTATTATCTGGATCTGCAGTGAAGTGTAAAGTCTTTGATCTCAACACCATCAATATGTCTGATGTTTTACATCAAGATCCAAACATTATTTCCTGAGAAATTGGCGAAACTGTTAAATCACAATGTTGAGGAAAGTGATAAAAAAAATTCATGCTCCTTAAACTGGATCCACACCAAGATTTAATGGGTTCGTCCCTGGCCTGCGAACCATCACTCCTCTAAATTTGGTGTAAATTGGTTCAGCACTTCCTCTATAATCCTGCTGACAAACACACAACCAGGCATGAGTGAAAACAGAACCTCCTCGCCGGATGTAAAAAAAAATAGAGTTGCATTAATCGATATCCTTCAATTGGAGGGTAGAAAAAGGTCAAAAGAACCTGACACCTCTGTGTTTTTATCTTACAGAACAAAGTTGAGGAGGTCATTGAAGCTTTCAGTCCTGCACCAGACGGACTCTACAGTTACAGTAGGTTTCTTGACACTTCAGTGGTTTTTCTAAGGATAAATAACAACTGTGCTGCAACAGGAAACGTGGAAAACAAGTCATCTACACAGCAGGAGCTGCTGAAGAAAACTGTTCATGGTTCTTGAAGTAGCAAGCCTTCGGTAAAAATATTGAAGATCTCCTTGTTATACATAGCCCTTTTCCACTGTGTGGTACCAACTCAACTTGACTCAACTCTACTCGCCTTTTTTGGTTTTCCATTGGGCAATAGTTGTGGATAGCACCTGGTACCTGGTGCTTGTGCAGTTAGTACCATGCGATGGAAAAACAAAACAATGTTTTTTATGAAGTGTTTATCACGTCCTGATAAGCCACCACACATGACTATAACTCAGTACTGAATCACTGAGTTCTCACAACTGAAGCATTATTTCCAGTTTCCTCTTCCTATCAATTCCCACTGTATTTTAAAAGACATCATCATCAATGATTAATAGCTTCTATGGCATCTATTGCTGACTGACATGTATTGACAGCTGTCTGCACAGCTTTGAGGAGGAGAATTGTGATTTTTGTTTTTATGGCTTAAGATTGATGCTTCTTGACCTCTTTGCTGAAATGTGTGTGTGTTTATGCAGACAGCACTCACCTACCGTTCGGTCGTCCAGCGGTGATGTTTGACACTGAGTACAGTTTGCTTCATCATGTGGAGTTCATCAGTGGATATAGCAAAGAGCTGGCCATGCCGCTGTGGACAGCATACACACTGCCACGACAGGTGAACACACACTTGTTTTTTTTCATTTAAAGTTGCTCCCTGGAGACCGACCCCAACCACAACCACTATATGTCTAACTTCAATACACATTACATGTCTTACGTTTTTTTCTGTAACTTGTATAATTTAAAACCCAATTTATAATGTGGACATGTGACTTTCGAGGTTTTGCAATAACAATGCGAACAGTCTACATAATAAATGCACTTCACATTGCTGTCTAATGCATTAGACTTCTTCTTACAATTAGCCACTGTTCTGTTCATCTCTAGGAAAATCAACTTGAAGAGACATAAACCTGCAGCAGATAGATAACCCATGACATTAGCAGCAGGGAGTCTGTTGAGAGTTTTTATTGTTGCCAACATGTAAACTAAGCAAAAAGCTGGTGATGCCTGAGTTCAATAGTATACGTCAAACAGCAGGGGGCAGCAGCGTCTAGTCTGGTGAATAAGAGAAGAAGAAGAATTTGACCAATCATAACGCTGGCTTCAGTCCCCCAAAACACGAGCAGTTGTTACAGTTTCTCATCCAGTCTGGCTGGTTCCTCAGGTGAGGGCGGTGCTTTAATATTAAGGTAAACGGGCTGGGTTGAATGTGGAAAGTTGACAATGTGAACTGAGTTAAGTTGACGCAGACCTACCTAACCTGTCCAACTGTTTAAAGTTAATAATGTTACCCTAACGTTACGTAATTTTAAAGCTAGCTAGCTTGTAGCTAGGTAGCTACGAAAACACTGACAAAAGTAACTTTAAGTTATGTTGTCTGTGTGTTGCAGATTGTCAAACGCGACTTTTCATAGTAGTTCCTCTGTGCCGCAGAAATAAAGTTATATAAAGTTATATATAAAGTTAAGTCAAAGTGAATATGCATGTGCGCGAACCCACCTTGCATTTAAAATAAATGTGATAGATGAGGAGGACACTGACAGGAAGAGACTGACAGTGTTTTACATCACAACATAATTGCTTGTACCTGAAAATCAAAACATATTACAGTATACAAAATAAATGATGCCATTTTTTATTAAATACTTGAATTAATTCCACTTTATCAGTTTGTATTAGCACAACTATTTTACATAACATATAAATCATTAAAACAATTGTTTTTAACAGCTGTAATGTAACTTTTGACTATTAGTAAAGTTCAATGAGTAAGTGATATTTAAAAAAAAAACATGGTCAAAACCTTGCCTGAACTGATGTCACATTATTCACACATGCCCACAAAAAGCTGGCTATTCGTGAATGTAAATATGTCCTTTTGTTAGACTTCTTCTTCAGAACATATAACTGTATTGTTTTCTTCATAGCTGATTCATATATTGAATAACTTGATGATATATTGGTGAGATGGTGAAATGATTGCGTGCAAAGTGAAGACGTGTGGAAGCATGTGAAATAAGCATTACACTATTATGGCACTCAAAATATTTTGCCAAGGCTGGCAGGTCTGTAAAAGTCTTTGAGAATTTGCCGCTGAACTGCAGCCTTTTCATTGCAACATTAATCACTACTTATCCTATTTTTCACCAACTTGTAAGTCTTTAGAGATTTGTCATCGTTATGTTATTGGACCTTGAATGCACCACGAGGGGGATCAATTCCACATTAGGTGACAAATGTTTTCCACTGTGATGGATTACTTTTCTGCAACAAGTTTCAAGTCCCTCCAAACTGATTTTTTATAATTCACTGAAAAATTTGAAATAAAAACATCCCTGAAGTAATTTGGAAAATGCTCAGCTGAAGTTTAATATACAGTATGCAATTTGATTTGAAACATTTTGATCTGTGGGTCCAGAAATCTAACATGTGTAGTGCACTTTGACATGCCAGCAACATTTTGGTATGTTTCCTCACACAGTTTGTGTTTGTGCTTTGTGCCTCTCATTCATTTAAACTGGGTGTCTGGTTGTAAAAGTCCTCACAGGCCAGATGTTGTTGTCCGCTGTGAATGAAAGTGTGTTTATATCAGAGCAGAACATGACGGAGCTACAGAAACATGTAAACATAAACAACAAGTCAAGCAACACCAGTTGACACAGAAACTGAGTGAGCGAAGCTGTGAACGTGCGTGTTTGTCCGGTGTTTACAGGAAAATGTGAGCTGCAGGTTTACAAGATGCAGCTGCTCACACGACACACGCACACATCATACATGAATACCTACACACACTTGGACAAGCATGCAACATGGTACCCAAAACTAATTTTTCTCTAAATCCCACACTGCTCTCTTCATCATCTCTTTCTTTTCATTCCCTCTCTTTCATCCACAACTGTCTGTCTTTTTTTTTTTTTTTTGCAGAATGTATTTTACATGTATTAGTGTTTAATTGTGTCCATATCTCTCTCTTATATTAGGAGGACATCACTCCTCTACCGGAGGTTTCCCTCGGTGTTCAGTGTATCCGGGTCGACCCCAGAGTTTCAGCTGATCACAGTCAGAGCTGCACCACCTACAGCCAGAACAACCACCTCACCCACGGCTTCCTCTTCCCCCCAGGTAAACCCGCAGGGTGACCACAGCAGGACCACAGCACTCCCTGGGGAGGAGAGTTAATACTGATGTGTCTGATGTGTGCTTTTTGAGAGAGTATACAATATCTTCATTACAAATATGAATACATGATAATGAAAAAATACATCAAACATATCTTAGTCGCAACTGAACAGAGGCAGCACTGTCACTCCAAAATAGTACAACTTATAAATGTTCCTTTTAAACCTTTTTTTTTTGTCTCCCCCCTCTGGCAGTGACACTAATTACACAGACACTGTTGAATACACAGAAATTTCCACAGTTCCAAGACAATAATTCATGATTTTTTTATTTTTTTCGTTTCTTTTTTATCTGGACCATCAGAAACTTTTCTTGGATGCTCCCTAGGTTTTCTCGCCATACACTCCATAGCACCATACTCCTGCTGCTGTAGTTGCTCTGTCTCCATGGCTACAGTAGCTCCCCCTGAGCTGTTCTGAGACGTTATGTTGTCTGCATGTCCACTGTAAACATATTTTGAGGCTCAACACAAGCACCCGACGGACAGGTGCATGTTGTTGACTTTTCTGTGTCCCAGGTGAAATACATAGGTCGAAACCTTCAGCATGTTGTACTGCGTTTCAAGGGGGACAAGTCCAAAGTCCAAGCTGTCTGTCAGATGCTTAATTGAAGCTTTCACATATATTTACAGTATTCATAAAGACAGAACAGCTGTAGCTCTTCAGCTCTGGCAAACTCGCTGGTTGTCGTAAAACACATTACTGCTGGTGTGCAGAGCAGGAAAGTCACACCAGATGTAAAACTGTCTACTGCAGAATCCAGACCGATTTACCGGGTGCTGAGAGGGTCACCCAGCATGGTCGCACCGAGTTAAATGTATCGGACGTTCATTTATATGGGGGGGAAAAAAAAAAAAGATTTGACAAACGTTATCATTACACAGTCTCTCAGTCATCTCAAAGTTGTCAACTCAAATCTGTACATGACCATATATTTTCATATCAAGTGGCATTCATGTATTTGTTGCACCTTTGTAAACAGTATTTGTCAAATAAGAAATTTTGCCTTTACATTTACATTTTACTGCAGTTTCATTGGAGGAAACTGTCATGGTGGATGGAGGTCTGGACCCACAATGCAGACAAGACACTGAATTGCTGTAGAAAACACGAGTGTTTATTACGCAAAGGTTGGAGCGGCTGGAGCGGGGCAGGGGTTGCTGGATCTTGGAAGGGTAGCTTGGCTGCTGGGGTTTGGAAGGGTGGTGGCAGAAGCAGGACCTGGAAACAAGGGGAAAAAACATGGTCAGAAACTGAGCTATAAAGCTAGCAAGAGAACTGAAGACTGAGACACTGACGATACTCTGAGCCGAAATACTATACCACTTAGGTAAGCTGACAATCTGGCGAAGGGCTGTGAACTGGACCAGGGTTTTATGCAGACTGGAGTGAAGGTGACTTGATTGCAGATGGCTGGCAGGTGGCTTGATTACTGACAGCTGGCAGGTGTGCAGGTGAGTGGTGACTTCAGCTCCGCCCAGCTCCAGACAGACAAACACTAGGATCCTGACAGAAACTAAGTTATTTTGCCATAGGTGAGTTTATTGTTTACTGTAAATTACCAGTGATCTGGTGTAGTAGAGGCAGCTGTCAGAATAAAACACAACATTTCTCTTTCAAAAACATTTACAAAATTGACATTAGATGTGTGTGTGCTGTGATTATAAAGTAATAACAGGTAGTTGGGTAAGAACTCATTCAATTTCTTCTGACCTTTTGAAACAGGGTGTGTTCTTCAAAAGAAAAAGAAAATAAATATTAGTGGGGCATTTTAATAAGCGTTTTACAGGTTAGAACCAGGTGTGAACTGTAACATTTTCCATGGCGACCCTGTTATTGGTTTGTTGATATCATGGCGGTGCCAATCGAAAGGAAAATTACTTTGACATTTGTTTCTCCAACTCTCTGTGATGTTTCCATGACAACAGTATTTGACACAATCTTGTTTCGGCATTGATTTTAAGAGAATTTGTTGTGCTTCTTTCTCGACAGAGCTGGCATTGTCTCCTGAGTCCAGATACGACGCTTCTCTCATCACCAACACGGTTCCCATGTACCCCGCCTTCAAGAGTGAGTCACTTAAAATAGGACAAAGTAAACTCGACTGAAACTTGAACTCATGTCCTTCAATTTTACCAGAGGCCAATTTGTGAATGATGTATGAATGTCAAGTATTATGGTTTTATCGAAACTGGAAAATCATTCAGGGTAAAGCCCTTATTTACAATGAAATTGAGCAGGTATAAAATATTAGAAATACAAGATAAAAGAAGAACATCAATTAAAACAAACATATATATATATACAATTAATAAATAATGTAACAACAAAATCAATTAAAGAAGGCACAAACAGAAGTTAAAAGGTTAGAGATTAAGGATTTAAAATGACAAAGAGGTAGCAAAGAGTTCATACTTAAAGTGTTTTGTAGTGAGTTCCAGATGGATGGTGCAAAGAAGCCACAAATGATCATTGCTAGCATATGAATTTGGGAGTGAAACAAGGCTCTTGAATATACAAGCACGAGTGAAACGTGAAGGAGAACATGAGGTGACCAAATTTTGTAGATTTCAGAGAAAGGTCTCAGATATGAGGCTGACAGTTTCGTAGAGATTCTTGCTGGAACTGAGCTACAGAAAACAAACTCAAAACTTTGAAAGATCTCATTTGATTTTTTTCAATACCAGGTTTGCAAAACCTAGTATTGATGAATATCTTGTAAATTGCAACAGAGATTCCAAATCTCTGGAGGCAAAATGCAATAAACCACCAAAGCCCTGCAAAACACCAAATTGGTGACATTTCTTGCCTTTATAGGGAAATAAGTCAGTGAATTGTGAGTTAATAATTCATTAATGATCTTAGAGGAAATTTGATGATTTGTGGGTCTTATGGTGCTTTAACAAAATCAAGGAGTGTGTTTGTAACACGACTACAAGCTACAACCTGTATACAAAGTTTAACTGATGCCTCTGATATACAAACAAAAGTGGTATTTTCTGTGGTGTCCAGTTGTGTCACATGAGAGAAAGGAAAGAAACGTGGTGATGTCAGGTCTGAGCGAGGACGGCCTGATACCCATTGTTTCTGCAGAGAGAGAGGACTTATCAGGACAAAACACACACACTCTGTGTCATGCAGATACACAGTATTCATCATTGTTGTCAACAGTGTGATTAATCAGTTTCCAGACCAAGAAAGTGGTGTGAAAACTGAATTTGTTTTTTAGATCATTTAAAGATGTTTGATTTGGTAATTTCTTCAGATTATTTTTCACTGCTCTTTGCAGCATAGTGAATGACTCGAACACCGATGTAGCGTAATTATGCAAAGTTTTGTAATTACATCAAATTTAATTAAATTAGTGCTTTTGACGGGGAGGCATTTTTGATATTTACTCATGAGATTATTTCAAAATTGAGCTACAATGTGTTATTTAAATAACAACTTTCAAAATTAAAGCATTAAAACATGTCAGTCTCCTTATTCAACCAATTAGGTGAATGCACAACAACTCGTCTTTGAGGTACTGAGACACAGGAAGAACTGGTAGTTTCTGGATGATAAAATAAGCATATTATATATTATTTGAAGGAGCATATACTACATAAGGGTTGACAAAGTATTATGATCCCTGGACTTTTCACAGCCAGTTACATAATACACAGAAATATATTCTACTTTTTAAACATGCTATTTTAGCGCCAAGTAATGGACACGGATTCTTTTTATTTGATTCAGGTTTTTCTTTTTGTTCAAGGTGAAAAATCATTTGAAACGGCATTAATATTCATGCACAGTATAACTCTAACTGCTGAAGCCTTTTATTTTCTAATACAGACATTCTGAGGTTATTAAATGTCTTTAAATTAAGTTTAACTTTTTTTGTACATGGTTAAACACATTATTTAATGTTTATAGAAATGTGTCACTTTGTTTTTGTTTTTGTTTGTTTTTGTTTTGTTTTTTGTGGTCTGGCTGATCTGATAGCATCTGGATTGCAGTGCACCCTGCATCCATTTACACCTGCACCTGGATTTCCTGATCCAGTTAAGATTTCCAGGTACAGGTATCATAACACCAGGTGCAGATGGGGGGGATAAGCTCATTTATGTCAGAGGCCGATAACATCTGATATTTATGAAAAGGTCAGTATTTGTTTTGTATGGCAGCATCTCACTGCTTGTTCCTCTGTGTGCAGGACTGTGGAGTTACCTGCAGGGGACGCTGCTGAGACGTTACGCAGAGGAAAACAACGGTATCAACGTGCTTGCCGGACCCATCTTCGACAACAACTATGACGGCCTCCGTGACACAACAGAGAAGATAAAAGAGTAAGGGTCAAAGGTCAACCACTAGAGGTCAGAAGTACCCTGTGGAATATTTCATCACTATTGGCACTATTGTTTTTAAGAGCAGGTCAATTTTGTTTGTATACTGCGCACACACGAGGACACGCATGCTTTCACACTACACTGACTGACAGTTGATGGCAGGAAATGTAGCAGGGCACCATCGAAGGCACTGAATAAAAACACTAGAGCCAGTAAACAGTTGTACACAATATAGGTTTCATATTACTGAAAAGTGGTTTTGCAGTTGTTTTTTTTTAAATAAAAATTACAACTTTATAAATCACCTGGTTGTTATTTTTGACACTCTGATCGCCGTCCTCCCTCCAGGTTTTCACCCGACATTCCGCCTGTCCCAACCCACTTCTACACTGTTGTGACGAGCTGTCAGGAGCTGAACCAGACCCTGGAGGAGTGTGCTGGAGCGCTCAAGGTCTTCTCCTTCCTTCTCCCTAACAGACCAGACAACTCCGAGGCCTGCAATGTGAGTTCAACCGATTCCCAGCAGGGGGCAGCGATGTCCCATCTGTCACTGCTGTTGCATGAATTCAGTTCAGAATTGTCAGTAATTAAATAAGTAAAGTAAAGTGCATTTACTCAAGTACTGTAACTAAGTACAGATTTAAGGTACTTAGTTACAGTACAGTAAAATATGATGCATTGTTCAAGATTAAACTAGCCAGCAGCATATAAAATGTGAACTTAAATTTATAAGTCAATTATTCAGTTATCTGAAAGTCAATCAGAAATTGATTTGATAAGTGATGAATTTTTAAGTCATTTTTCATGTAAAAATCAAAATATTTCCTGAACTCAGTTTCTCAAATCCGCAGAGCCTCGATTCTGAGGATTTCCTGTCTTAGATTACAGTAAACTGAATAATTTTGATTTGTTATGTCTCACAAACCAGTCAGCGGTTTGAGCAGTTTGATCAAGAAAACAATCTGCACATTAAAAGAGCTGTTTGTAAGTTTTGCTATTGCTACATAGCTAATGTTAGCATTAGCAGCTGTTTACTTACCAGTCTTGCCAAGAGCTTCAGCTATTGTCGAGTTTACAATACCAGAGGTTATAAGACGTCGTCTGAGCTGCTAGTATTTCAGGGCAGACTGGATGCTACAGTCACTTGGTATCAGAAAGTGACAAGACAGTCCAACCGGACAGGGGCTAACGGGTTAGCATCCTAACTTCAGTAGAAGAAAAAGAAGTGATAATAATAGAAGCAAAACAAGAGGGTTGCTTTCCACCATGGGAGACAGCTCTTGGTGAAAAGAGAAATGAAGTTTGATGTTGAGCTTGCAGCGTTTCTACTAGACTGGTAAGTAAACAGCTGTATCAGAATGCTAATATTAACTAGGAATGTCACGATAGCAGAAATTTAGTAGTCAACACCAATACCACGATTCTCAATACCTATTTCGATACCACGGTAAAAAAAAAACAAACACAATAAATTCCATGTACTTTCTCTTTCACTCCTGAATTTCAAATAAACAATACTGTACTAAAATATAAACAATCAACTTTTTATTGCACAGCTTTTCAGCTATAGTGCCCACAGACAAAAAATGTGGAAATAATAGATATAATGAAATGAAACAACTATTGACATAGCAAAAAAGAACAGTGCCATGTAGCCTTCAAGTATTAAAGTAAACAATACTGTGCTAAAATATACAGTCAGTCAACTTTTTATTGCAGAGCATTTTAATAATCTGAGACATAAAAATATGGACATATAATAGATATAATAATACAATTAAACAATTTTTGACACTGCAAAAAAGAACAGTGGCATGTTGCCTTCGAGTATTTAAAGTAAACAATACTTTGCTAAAATATAAGCAGTAAAATATTTATTGCACAGCATTTCAACTGTGGTTTGGAAAGTGCGAAGGCACTGTTTACAAACGGGCTTTTGCAGGTACATAATAAACCCTCATCCTCCGCCTCGAAAGTAAAACATTTCCATACACGACACTTCTGGCTTTTTCTTTCGACGAGCCGAGGTGCTGCAGCGTGACCAAGTTATGTGCCTGAACTTGTCGCCATCTTCCATTTGTTATTGCGGCTAGACTGCAGCCTAGTAGTGGACGATACTCATCCTCCCTTGGGCAGAGGCAGAGTGTGTTCCAAGTCACTCAAATGTCGCCAGTGATGCATTAATTAGTGTTAATGTTCTTTTACACGTGTTTTTGGTAGATTACTGTCACTTTTGAGGTAAGACACTTTTGCACCATGAGATAAGTTGCTCATACAGTTAATGACATCCTGCTCGTGCGCAATGAGAGCTGATGCGAGAGCGGGTGTGACGAGCACTCGTTCAACTGCCTCCCTCAATAGGATGTCAATTTTATGTTGCTTCCTATTGAGGGTGACTATCAATCTCGTCACGTGTCTGTAATTTCGGTACCTTCGAAACCACGAAAAAACGGGTACCGTCCCGCTTTTTGGGACGTGGCATCGACTTGGTACCAAAGTATCGGTTCTGGTGACAGCCCTAATCTTAACTATGTAGCAATAGCAAAACTTACATATATCGCTTTCAATTCAAGATGTAAATAATCAGTCCTATTTCAAATAGTTAAAAACGATCTCTACCACAGCCAACTACAAGATTAAATGCTGTTTACATATTGATGTGACCAAAAATCTAATGTGATAATATAAAATATTTCTCTTTAGTAGCTTGTTTGTTTATTTGATACTTTAAGTCATTTTTTTATTAATATTTTGTGTTGCCCATCCAGTATTTTCCATTTTCAGGTTTCTGTCGTACTCTAGGGATCTTGAGATGTAGTACTCTCATTTTAGGTACAGAGTTCATTCTTAACTTAAGAAAAACAACAGGTCATTTTTCTGCATTATCATCTTTTCAACTGCTTCGTATTTGTAGCAGTTTGTGCTGCATTTTTCCCCATGTCCCCCTATCTAACCAATAACAGTATATTGATGGGGGTACATCACAATACATTACCATCACCTTTTAGCAGTACACAAAATCTGTGTGAGGACACAGAGTGCATCTGTACTTGTTCTAAATAGACAGCAAATATTAATTTTATTTCTTTACCCCCCACCCCACCCCCCCACCCTAATTTTAGAACTCATATTTGAGTACATTTGTGTCTTGGTAGGGTGGTGACCAGACCAGAACTTGATTGTCAACAGGCATGTGACCTCATAAACTGAGAAATGAAAATCCATCTGAGTGCAATTGTGGAGTACCGATACTTTGGTGTGGAGAGGTTATGGATTGATCTTTGTTACTTCTTAATCGTTTACAGACCTTTTATTTACGAAAACGCCAAGTTCTGTCCATCTGCTGTTTATTCTTTTTTCAGGGGCCTCCCTGGGGCTCTCCAAGTGCCACTGCCACTCTACTGTGATAAACAAACTTTACATTTGTATATATACGCTGCAAATATGTAGAGAACAGATTAAACTGTTGCCCCACTTTAAGGTAGAACCATCAGAGTTAGCGAACAGAAAAGCTTTCACAGTGTAGATGTCACGATAGGATGAGTATTTGAACCTACCCACCATACTCTTGCTTTTCTGCTTTAAACCTGTTGAGTCATTTATTAGTATTTATCTTTGTTTACAAAGTAAGTCCTCCAACCTGAACAAGCGTATAGGTTGTTTGTTCCTACCCTCGGACATGATGCATGGGAGTGTTTCGTAAAATCATGCCTGTACGGTGGCAGGCACGCCAGACCTCATGGTTACAGTTATAAACGTCGCTAAGCTTATGAAACATCATCATGGTTTTGTTAGGTTTAGGGAAAGATCGTGCTGTTTCTTAAACAATGTTTGTTTCACACAGGAAACAAAGTCCTGTCTTTTGTCCACCCATCCATCCATCCATCCTGGCCTCCTCCCTACATGGATTTTGTCACAGTATAAACTATGCCACCTAACTTACTCCTTTGTGTCCATCATCATCATCATCATCATCATTATCATTACTATGACCACTTTATTTCATCTACCAATTAAACATGACTATGGGTTTTAATAAGCTGCTTGCACAGCAACCAGTGGGATTGTTTTTTACAGGCCCTTACATAGGCTATATTTTTCCTGTACAAAATTTGATTTATCTGATTGGTTGACAGAGCTATTCACCTGAAAAGTTACAGCATCTTGAAAAGCCCTCAGGTCTTTTAACTTGAAATTACAACCTTTTTTTTTTTTAATCTACTTTTGCAACTTTTAAACACATCACTGACATTTATTCAACAAACATTAAGAGAAGATTCTCCAGATCTGCTTAATCTTAAAATACAGACATGGTATGGCTTGAGATGTTTACTGTTAAGTTTTACAGATGGAAACTCATTTATACCAAGTCGATTGACATAGAAGTTCTTCAAAGGATATGACTAGTGTTATTCTGTAGTAAATATGAACACTGTGCACTCTGCATGCTGTTGTCGGAATCGTTCTGGAGAGAGAGTTTGGCTTGTGCTTGGTGTCCTATAACTCAACTAAAATTGACAATTTATTTTACTTTTTTTTATTTTGAGTTAGATTATGCCACAAGTAGAGCCCAGTGCAGTTTTTGCATGTTTCACCACTTGACAGATCTGTACGCTGTAATGCTCTGATGAGGCCACGATTAGTGGATTAAATGAAGAGATTTCGATTTAAACAGCTAAATATTTTGTCATTGCCTTCTGAATTGACTCACTGGAGATCTGAAGGGGCCTTTATTTGCAGGATGACATCTTTAGCCAGTGCTTCCTAAAAAGCATGATATGGCATGTTTACAAAAATGGTTCATATTACTGTTTTCTGATCTGCCATACATTAATACCTCCGCCAACGAGGTTATGTTTATTTCTATATTATCAGGATAAGGTAAAGTACTGAACTGATTTGCACCAAACTGCGTCATGGGCCAGGGGAAAACCCATTAAATTTTGGTGCATTTCCGGTTGATCATTTTCCTTAACATTATCTCTCAGAAAATGGTTTGTGGATCTGGGTGTAAAAGATCAGACCTATTAAGGGTGTTGAGATCTTTGAGTTTGTGCAGTTTTGTGAGATCCACATAATAATCTTGACCTGACAGACGTGTAGGATTGTTTTATCTTGGCGGAGGAATATGCCATTCTTTGATTAAGTGTAGGCAATTAAAACTACTTCCTAAAGGTCAGGGAATCGTCATAGGTGAAAGAAGCCAATGTTGACCTGTCATAGTTGGATCTTTTTTTATGCCCAACAACGGGCTGCGGTGGATGGTGACTGAAATAATGGATGGATGAATTTCCCTGTGAAATTTGGTAGAAATGTAAAGAAGTGAGCCCAACACTCTGTGAACAGGCATTAGAATAATTGTAAAGTGTTGTCTATGGTGTACAGTTTGTCTTTGTCTTTTTATACTTGTGAGGACCCACACTGATACAATGCTTTCCCCAGCTCCTGACCCTAACCTTAACTATTTCAAATAAATGTCCACCCCAACTCTTACCCTAAACC